TTAAATAAGTTGGTGCTCTCTTTTTCAACCATTTTTATTATCACGCATTATTACATGAATTTATTATGATCATATCCATTTAGAATTCGTAAGACCAATTCTTATCAAACAACAAATGTTTATTACAAAAGTAAGTTTTTATTTTTTTATTTATTTAATAAACCTTTATATTAATTTTCTTATATCTAATAAATATAAAGTTGGATTAGTAAATTTACACAAATGGAAATGTTTCAAAAAACTAGGTTTGGTAATGTTATAATGTGGATTACAGTATTTGTTGGTCAACCATTAGTACAACTTTTATATTCAACTCAATATAATACATTGGTTTGGAAAAATAATTCTATTGTTCCAACTAATTAAAAAAAAAAAAACTTTTAAATTATAAATAAAATAAAAAAAAAAAAAAAGAAAAGTTATATTATTATATTAATTTTTTAAATATATATATAAATTAATAATAAATTATTTTTTTTATAAATTTAATAAAATTTAATTTATTTATTCTTTTTCTTTTTCTTTTTGTTCTATTTGTTGTTGTTGTTGTGGAAATATATCAGTTTCTTCGATTTGTTTAATTTGAAATTGAATTGGAGGATCCTAAAAATAAATAATAGTTAGTTTTTTAATTTAATTTTTAGAAAAATATAATAATAATACTTACAGATATTGTTGAAAATAATGAAACAGGTAAAAATTTACCATATTGATCATAAAAATTTATACGATTTTGTAATTCCAAATTAAATTGTTCTTTTAATTCCAATTCAAATTGTTCTGCTATAGTTTTTTGTCGTAAAAATTCCCTTTGTCTTCTTTTAACTTCTTCTAATAAGTTATCATAGGAATTATCAAACAATTCATACCATTTATTTAAACTGCTTAATTCTCCTAAAAAATAATTTGCAGCTGAATATCTTTGTTCGAAAATTGAGCATAGTTTTTCAAAAGTTTCCCAACTATTACCAAAATCATTTGATACGGTTCCTGATAATTTGTCATATAAAATAAAAGCTAATGAATAGAGATGATTAATTCTTTTAAATTTTTCATCAAAATCTTTTGCATTCTTTGATAATAATAAAAGATTCTCTGCAGCATTTGCTAAATATAATTGAATTTGTTCTTTTCTATTATTAATATCTTTATTAAAATCTTGTTGTTGTTGTTGTTGTTGTTGTTGTTGTGGTGGTGGTGGTGGTTTAAAAAATGTTATAAAATCGCATTGAGACGCTATATTTATTAATGTATTGTTTATAGTGGTATATAAGTTATGTTGAGATATTATATGATCATTATTGTTTTTATTACTATTATCTTGAATTTCTTTATTAAATTCATTTTGTAATTCTAAAAACTGAATCTCTAAATCGTTATTATCGTTATTTAAAGTTTCTTGAATTTGATTAATCCTTTCATATAAATCATTTAAGCCATTTACCTCTTGTAAAAATTGATTTCTTATTAACTCTAAACTTTCTGTATCTATAAAATCATATAAAGTATTTAAATTATTATCGTTTTGTTGTTTATTTTTAAATACTAATCCTTTATCCAAAACCTTTTTTTTTAATATTTCCAATTTGAAATCAATCGTTTCGAAAATTTGTTGTTTAAAATTTATTAATGTTGTACATTCATTTAAAAAGGTATTATTTTTTTCATTAAATGATTTTATTGATTCTTTTATAATCTAAATATTTAATAAAATTATAAAAAAAATTAAAAATCTTAAATAATATGATATTTTTTTTAATTTATTTACATTTATTTGTTTATTGGTTTCTTTAATAGTTAAATGAAGTTTACTAAGTGAGTTATTGTATTTTTTTAATGATTGTTTTGATTGTTTCAGTAATTGGTCTGCTTGGTTTGAATAGGTTTTACATAAATCCAATGATTTATTTGAAAAATCCATTAATGTTGGAAAATTTGAATAGATATCAAAATTTATTCTATATTTTAATTGGTTTTATGTATGCAGTTTTAAAATATTTAATTAATTTAAAAAAAAAAAAAATAAAAAAAAAATAAAAAAAAAATAAAAAAAAAATAAAAAAAAATAAAAAAAAAAAAAAAAATAAAATTTATTTTTTTTTAAAAATATTATTTTATTTATATCTTTTTTTATTTTGTTTTTGAAAATAATTTTAAAAAATATTTATAAATAATGATGTGCAATATACAATAATAACCCTATTTTTTTAAATTTAATGTGGAAAAAGACTTAAAAAAATTTCGATTTGCCATACTAATTTATATTTAAAAAAAAAAAATTTCATTAAATTTTTACATCTGGCAATTGCCATTTTTCATTTTATATGTAAAAAAAAGACTTTAAAAAATTCAAAAATTTTAAATTTAAAAAAAAAATGAAATATAAATTATTTTTATATAAAGAGTTGAAAATGTATTAAAAATTAAAAAGATTGAATAGGTTATTTTGAATATGTAGAAAAGAATTGAACTTTTATTAAATGATTCCTTCATATAGGAAATAAATCTATCATACATTTATTGTAAAAAATATGGATGGTACTTTCCACTTTTTATATAATCTAAATTTTGAATTGTTATTTTTTATTTTTTGTATATACAAAATTTATTTTGGACTAGATATATTTTTTTTAGGGGTGAATTATTTAATAAAAATAATTAAAGAATTTTTAAATTTTTTTTAAATTATTTTTGCATTCTTATTCAATTATTATTAATTTTTTTATTTTTTATTTTTACTCTTCGACATTGATAAAAATATATAATTTAAATTATATATAATATAATTTAAAAAACATATAATATAATTTTAATTATTTTTTTTTTATCCATTTAATGATTAAATTTTAATCATAGAAAACATATAAAAAATAATGTGTACACATGGTAGCTATCATATTAAAAATTGTAAATGATTCAATTAGAAACCTTCAAGGATTTAAGTGACATTGAATATTTTCCAAGTATTAAAAAAGACTGTACCGAACATTGTAAAAAAAAAATGGCAAAAATAGTAGAGATAACAATGAAACAATTTACAGAGATGGCTGTTAATTATTACAAAGATGCAAAGTTAGGAAAAGATTCATCTGGTTACTCTTACATTTTGTATTGTATGGAACCAGATAAAGATAATGATCCAGATTTCCTAGCTCGTGTCGAGAACAAATGTAATATTAAAATAAATGATAATAACGAATTAATTCACAATTTCAAAAAACCTGAAGAAGAGGGAGAAGAGGAAGAAGAGGAAGAGAAAGATGATAGCAAAAAAAAATAAAAATAAAAAATTAAAGAAAAAAAAAAATTTTAAAGATTTTATAATGATATTAATACCATTATTATTTTTTTTTTTATACTATATAATAATAACTATAATAAATAATTTAAATTATTTCATATTTTTTAAACTATTTATAAAAAATAAAAAATAAAAAATATAAAATATAAAATAAAATAAAAAATAAAAAAAAAATAATATTTTTAAAATAAAAAATCTAAAGTCTTCTAAAATCCAAAATCTAAATTAAAAATAAATAAATATATAATAAAAATTAAATTTAATTAAAAACAATTAAATAAAAACAATTAAATAAAATACAATTCCCTTAAAATTTTATTATTTTTTATTTATTTTTTTTAAAAAAAATTTATAAATCACTTTTTTTTTATATTTTCATTTTTAATTTTTTTTTGTTGAAACAACCCCTTTGTAAAAATGATAAACAATTAAATATCATTATCCATCATATGGTTTAATATACTGGTAGTTGTAGAATGATGGAAATTACCATAATTATACCAATTTCGTATCAACAATAATACTTGGATAGTTTCAAACTTTAGAGCACTTTGATTTTTAGTTTTGATATCTGGCAAATCTGAAAAATATCTTTCTAAGGTGATATTTGAGGCAGGTATACTCATGTAAATATATTGATATAGATATATGATTGGAAAAGTGTATTTGTTTACCGACCAAAAAGATTTTATATCATCTTCACGTGATAATCTATCTCTATTTAAAAATTCATCCAACTCTGAGCTGAACAATCTTGAGTAATATTCCATTTTTGATTCTTTTTGAGTTTTATTTGATTTTTTATTATGATTTTGATTTTGATTTTGATTTTGATTTTGATTTTGATTTTGATACAAAGATTGACTAAGATTTAATGATTCAAGGTGATTTTCAATATAGCTAACTGGTAACCTTGAAAAATGTTGATTTAAAGTATCTATTGATGTCTTCCAACCTTTTTCCCAAGTTGGATTTTTAAACATTAAACCTTTATAAAATGGATCTATTATATATGAATTGTAAAATTTTTCATTTCTAATTTTGTCATCCATTTTAGTATATTTCGATAATACAGCAATACCTTTTTCTATATGAATTAATAGATTTTGATATTTCAATTGTTGTTTTAATAAATCGAATTTATCAAAAATATAATTAATTTGAACCCAAGCAGTGGAAATATTTGCTTCAAAACATGATTGAGCTAACTTGCAATTATAAAATAATTCATACATCTCTAAAAATAATTTCAATTGAAAAAAATGTTGTTTATTTGGATAATAATTAGCACCATATTCTAGACCATTAAAATAATTTGAAAAATTATCATTGAGGATTGCTTCTTCCATTGATTGAATTTTTACTAAATTTGTATAAAAAGCATTGAACCTTTGTTCGTTTTCCAAATGTGACATTTTTTGAAATTTTATTTTATTATTAATACAAATTGAATTTAATTGGTTTTCAATTTGTTTAATTTTTAATTTTGTCATTAATCTTTTAAATATTATATAAAATAAATTTGGGTCGTCACTATTGGTTTCATCAACAAGTTCAAGAGATGAGGTTATCTCTTTTACCACCAAATTTAATATATGGGCCAAACAACTAACATGGTTTTCTTCCATATATAAACTTTTTCCACCAAATCGATTATTTAATAAATATTTAAATTCTCTAGCAAAACATGTATTCACATTTGCACTATCACCCATTGAATGGGCAACTCTTGATAAAACTTCATCACCACATCTTTCGATAATTGAATTAAATACTGATTGGGCATAGGTGGTACCAGTACAATCAGGAGTTTGTATAAAATCAATTAATATTTGATTACATTGTTCTTTTTCATACCACTGAAGTGCAATACCAAAACCAGTGGTATTTCCTGAAGTGGTATCAATTAATACAGTGTAAACAGTACTTTGATTGTGTGTTTGAAATTTTTTTTTTAATTGATCTTTATATAATTCAAATATTTCCATTCCAGATTTTTTGATGGTATTACCGCAATATAATTGAGCATTTGGATTTTGAAGAAGAATTAATTTTCGGAAGGACTCATTTTCTACTACCGAAAATGGAAGATTTGATGATACAACATATAATGTTGTAAGGTATCTACAATTTATATAAATTTTATTCAATTAGAAATCAAAAACTAATATTTTTTTTTAAATAATTAATATATAAAAACTTACCTTTCTATAACCTCAAAACTTTTTTTTTTTTCGTTTTCATCTTTATTTCCTTCAAAAATTTCTTTAAATTCTTCTAGATTTATTTGATATGGTTTTTTTTCTTTAGAAAAGATTCCATGTGAATTCTCTATATTAATTTAATTTAAAATAAATTAATATAAAATAAAAATTCATTGTTTTAAAAAAAATGTTTTGACAAAATTAATAAATAAATAATTAAATAATAATAATAAAATTGAAAAATAAAAAAAAGTCATAAGAAAACTTTTAGTTAAAAAAAAAAATTTAAGAGTGTTTTTGATGTATTAAACATTTAAATTTATTGAAAAAATATTTAATAAAATATTGATATTTTTGATTGTGTTTTAAAATAAAAATAATTAAAAAAAAATAAAAAAATAATAAAAACCTACCCAAATGTCTTTTGATATTTGTTGTTCCATGAATATTATTTCCAATCCATTCACAAAAATTGCATTTAACATTATTTTTATCTTGGAGGGTTACATGTTTATAAACTGGACTGGTGAGTTTATTTTTATGATTATTATTATCCATAAACATATTTTTTCTTTTTTTATTATTTTTATTATCATTATCATTATCATTATCATTATCATTATCATTATCATTATCATTATCATTATCATTATCATTATTATCAGCAATTATTAGACTATAATTTTCATTTCTAAGATTCAATGAAGGTAGTGAAGATGGAACTGATGGTGATGTAATTGATGGTAGTGGTGTTTGTGAAGATGGTAATGATTGTGATTTTTGTGATATTTGTGATTTTTGTAATTTTTTGACCATTTTTTTTTTTTAAAAATATATATATTGTAACAAGTTTTTAAAATATTTATAATAAGCTAAATTATTGTTTGTGTGATATATTCTAAAGTATATGAAATCAAAAAAATAAATTAACAAAAAAAAAAAATAAAAAAAAAAAATAAAAAATAAAAAATAAAAAAAAAAAAAAAATAAAAATAATATTTTGTAGAGAAAAAAAAAATTTAATAAAAATTCAACACACCTATAATATTAATAAAAAAATAATAAATAGGGAAAAAAAATAAAAAATAAAAATTTTCCCCCTCCCACACCCACCCACTTGATTAAAAAAAAAAAAAAAAAACTTTGAATTATCAAGGGGGTGTTTGGAGGCGTTTTTTTAAAAAAAAATTAAGAAATGAAATTTTTTTTTTTTTATGTGCATCACTTTGAATTCTGATTCAATACACCCACTTTCTAATTTTTCTATTTGGGAATTGAATTCTTCCCCTGTTTTTAATATTATATTATGTTTCTTGAATTTTTTGATGGAAAAAGAAGACGTATGATAATAAATGTATAATAAATAATTTAAAATCAATTGGATATTTTCTAAATATATTTTGTTTAAAAAAGCTAAAATTTTTTTTCCCTAAAATAAAAAAGCGCTTAAATAATAAAAAAAAAAAAAAAAAATTTTTTTTAAACCTCCCAACCCCTATTTTTCCAAAAAATAAAAA